TGCATGGGATTGTTACGGCCAAAGGGCCATTTAACTTAATTTCTTTCAAAGGCATATGCAGTCCTGTATTGCTGTATGTTTATGGTGTGGGAAATGTGTTGCCTGGCAAGAGTGTCACTGGAAAACTCATTTAAATTTGTCTTTATTTCAAATGGGCTTTTTTCTCCCCTGTTACCTCTAACACCCCAGTAGTACAGTTTGGCCCCTTAAACAGCCTGGCCATGGGTGGCTCATTTGGACATAATGGGAACACCAGAATTTTGAAGGGCAGTTGTAGCAAGACAATTCTACAGAGCTCCCAGGAGTTGGGCTTGGAGCCTCTTGTAAATGGGAATGGGGTTTGTTAAATGCAACTTGTTATGGTTTCTAAAATCATTGTAGATATCTCAAAAATGCATCGAGGGAAATCTTCTGTTACATAATACTTCCTTGGTTAATTACATAGAAATATATTTAGCTTTCATCTGTCAAGTGAATTTGCAACATATAGAGCAGTTTCTATTAAGAAATGCAAGTCTGTAATTGGAACAGTGTGTGTTTAGGGATTGAACATTATTAAATCAAATACCTTTCCATTGATTCAAGTTAGCTCTTAAAACATAATGACAACTTGTTCTATTGCTAATGTTTCTCAAGAAAAGTAATTCCCCTAATAAGGAAATAATGTGCAAGTGGGTGATTGGTCTGCTTAGACTGAACTAGCATATGAATGCCAGTTGGGAAAATTGTAGCTGGTAATTAATGATTTAATTGTAAAATTGATTTGGCTTTTTTGTTGTGGTCTGGTTTTGTTGTTGTTCCCTTTTAAGCTTCAACTAGCTATGAAGACTTGTAATTGATTGAAAATGTCATTCATCTATCTAGGTCAGGGCCAGATTCTTATGGTCTTAACTCATCTGGTCAACAAGTAAATGAAATTACATTTTCATAACCTGATGTGAGTTCTGTTCTATGGAGCTGAAATATTGCATAAATTGAGTGGAATCCCTTACCACCTTCGTTTCTGTTTTTTTTGTGATTAATTTTCAATTATAAACAAAAGTGGCTCCCTACAGCAAAATAAACTTGTATTTCTAGTTCAGCTAGTGTATTAACAATACAACACTAATAATTTTTGTCTTGTATTTTTTGGTAGGAACTAGCTGAGGAGTTTCATCAACTGGAAACTAGTTTAGATAAACTGAATCAACTCTTGACGGATCTGGTTGCTGATCTGAAGTCAAAGAGAAGCTTTTTAGAGTCCAATAAGCTGCATCAGATGGAAAGAGACTTGTATGTGCATTTTTTCAAGGACGAAGGTCACTTGAAGGAGATGGTGGAGAAGCTTGAGCAGCAGGCTCAGGCCAAAGCCTGTGCTCTGGAAGAAGAGAATTTCACATCCCGTGGAGCTCCTAATGTCTAAATTTCAATGTGCTCTTAGGAAAGGAAAACGCTAATGTAAACTGCCTATAAGTTTATGAATATTAAACATTAGCTTGTCAAGGCTGACACTTCCCTGTCACTGCAGTGTCTGCTTAACTGTTCCCACTTTGGATCCTGTGCTGCTTTACGGTGCTCAGCGTCTGAGTTCAATCTCAGCTTTGGCAAAGCTCTTGGATACCAAGTAATGCATTGGTTTTTTGAGTGAGTTATGTTCAGGTTGCTCTTTGCCAGCCTGTGTGTTTGTTTCTGCTGTGCACAGCATAGCACCTAGAGGAACATTTCATACCCTTGAGTTAAGTTTTCTTCCATGCTAAGAACCTTTGATTGTGAACTGTAAAATCAATGTGGAGGAGGCATTCCAGATTTTGCAACATGACTCTTACGTGCTCATTCTGAAGAGGAGAATTCTCCAAGGCAGATATTTCATTATTGTTTCCCTTACAGGTCTCCTGAGAAGATAAGGTTTTGTTAGAAATGTGTTGGAATATGTACTAGAATCTGTTTTAACTAACAAGACCATCTTTTTTAAGATCATTCCAATCTCTCTTAGTTCACCTTATGGCCTATCTTCTCCATTGAAACCAGGCCATACTTGTACTGGGCTTGTCAAAGAAAAAGAATTTAAAGTTGGTCTTTTGGACTTCTTCTGAGTTTGCTCCATAATTTATAATGATAGACATTTCAGTTCAGGGCCCTGATGCTTTCATATTTCTGCTTTCATGTGCATTGTTAGCTCCTTAATCAAATTTTTACATAGCTTCCTAATATACCAATGGAACTAAATAGGCTTTTATAGTATGATAATTTCCAGTCTTTCATATTTTGATGGCATCAGCTGTGCTTGCTTTCAGGCATTGTACATATTGATGAAGGTTAGTATATTAGCTTTAACTTCTGTAGCAATAGTCTTAAAACTGTTTTGGTGACAGACTTTTATGTGAGTAACTTATTTTGACATGTTTAATTTTCTTTTTTTTTAGCTTACTGGTTGAACGTCTTTATGTCTGGATTTCATGCTGCTTAACTCTATACTTTGTGTTTATTATTAAATGCCAAGCTATAAATTCAGTTCAGTGTGGTCAATATTTACGGTGAATCTGTGTGTTGGTTTTAGGCCTATTCTCAGGCAAAGTGCCTTGTTTATATTTAGTCTGCTGGGTTTTCATTTTGATCTGCCCCTGAGGCTGAGACTGCTGCTTCCCACCCTGAGAAGTCAGGGAGCACCTTAACCTTGTGTAGGAAAGACATGTTGCTCTTAATTATAAAAGTTAGAGGGAGCTGTGTGTGGGGGAAAAATTTTACTTCTGGAATGTCAGGGAAAAGAAAGCCATTCAGCCTCTGTTTCCCTTTCTTTCACACACTTAATAATTTGAGGTAGACAGATACAGCCAGAACTAATGCAACGTGATGGAGGTTCCTCTTTGAATCCAGATACCAATGTTTGCACTTGGAAGTACTCAAAGCTGCAATCTGCCTGTGGTCTTGAGCTAAGAAAAACAATTCCATGTAAGAAGAGGCACTATTGTTTGCTTGATGGTTAAACTTGATGGGTCTACTCATGCACTGGATCTAGTGGGAAAAGACCAGAGTAACAGGACTCCAGTTACTAGCTTATATAGGAATAATTCAGTAAACAGCAGTTTTAGGTAGAGCAATTGACTTGTACAACTTGCATCCTTTTAGTATTTTGAAAACGGATATTTCTCTTGTGTTTGTGCTAAGTTTTATGCATTCTTCTGGTCTAACTAAAATAACATGTCCTCGGTATGGACACTATTTGTGATTCTCCAGTGTGTGTTGTATCTAGGGGTTCTCCAAGTATTTTGTATGGATTATAGAATATGGCTACAGGTCAACTGGAAAAGCAACTCCTTTTCAAAAAAAAAGGATAAAATTTAGAACAGCAATAGCTGTATCAAAGCTTTGAGAGACTGTAGATGTTGCTGGCCAGTTACTTCAACTGAGAAACTTTAGTAACTGTTTTAAAGTTATTGGTATATAATGATACTTGAGTGCATCAGTTACACAATTTAAGAAAGGAGCATTTTCTGGAACAAACTAATTATTGTATATCCTGATAGTGATGCCTGTTTCTTCCATCTTGTGTTGGCTCAATTTTCAGTCACTTGAAAGTGGGTTGGGGTTTTTTCTGGATAAAATCCAGGCACCAGTAAGAGTAAATGTATGCATGTGATAGATACAGACAGGTTTAAAGATGCTGGGGGAGAAGTATGTCAGGCACACATAATTCTAGTTTTATTTGTCAGATTTTTGTAGTACAAGTTAGCTGTACTTAAGACTTAGGATTTTTTATCAGTGTATTAAAACTATGTCAAGGAAGTTAGTTTTTATAAATGATGACATTTTTATTTACAGTATGTTACTGATAGGCATATCTGGGAGGAAATGTAATTTTCTGTTGAGAATGAATAGCTGAACACGTTCACTGTGTTTTTAATTTCAACACAGTATAAGTGTGGATTATTTATGGCCCTGATTAATTCATAATTTGTGTGTTCTGTGTTTAGGTTTAATCTTAAAAATGGAGCAGAGCACAGCATACATAGGATGTGAGGTTTCGAAAGTGCCTTTATCTGATATTGCTCAGAGGATTCTGACAGCTTTGCAGTCTATTCCTGTAGAAGTTCAGACTGACAGGGAAAATACCCAGAGTGAGTAAGTCTTAGCCTATTTCCATGTTTTTTTCAGTTGAAAAATTGAAAGACAAACCAAACAATATCAAACCTCTAGTCCCTATTTAAAAGGGAGGAGGGGAAGGTGAGAGTTTAGGTTTACATGTTTAGAAAAGGAATTAAGCTGTAACTGTGACCTCTGCTGGAATTTCTGATTAAATAATGTTATGTGAGTGCAAGGAACAGTACCCCCAATTAATTATGTTTTCTTACTGTTCCTGCTATAGGGTATAGAAGTAGATGAGAATTTCAAACTGTTAATTAGCTATTAGTATTAAATGTAATAAAATTGACTCTGGACTAGCTATTTAAAGATCAAACTAGTACTCAGAGATGCTAGGAACTTTACAGGAGGCCTGAGAACTCTCCAGACTCATGTCTGTCTTTCAAACACACATTTATTAGCAGTGTGCTCCTTGTGAAATTCTAGGGAGAAGAGTGAACAAAAGTCCCATGGAAAGAGCAAATTAGGTAATATTAAAAGTGCCTCAGCAGATCTTTTTGTTGGGCAAAATCTTACTCAGAACATGGGGGATACTAGGGAGGTCTTGCAAGGTGCAGTTTTTATTCTCAATTCTGTTCATGTCACAGTCTGTCACTGTTGTAGCTCTGGGAAGAAGCTGATACAAAGTTGAGAGTTTTGCTCAATTTCAGTTGTCTGTTTTCTCCTGAGCACTAGATCTGGAATATTAACTGGTCAATGGGATTTAAAGCTAACATTTGTTCTTGGGTATGTCATGTTTGTTGCAGCCTCAGGTTTATGTATGTTTTGGTTCAGGCTCCTATTTCAGTAGTTAAGTATTGGATCAATGGAGCCTGGTGGTGTAGCAGTGACAAGGGAAGTAGTTCATTGCTGTGTAGATCAGTGCTACACATTTGAAGAAATATGGGATGAGTTCATTTTAAAATGGTACATCTGGGACCAAACTCCAGATGATTTCAAAGAAAACCCAGTCTCTTTTCAGCCTCAGTTTAATTGCCATTCTACTTGTCTTGCTACTTTGCCATTTTTCCTTCCTTAATTTTCCCAGGTAATGTTTCTGCCTTAGGCTGGGGCACTCTGTACTGTGTGATAACTGTATCTGTGGTGTTGTCTGCTCTTGATCCATTCACTCTGTCAAGTGGTCAAATTACAGATTCTTTCTCTTTCAAACACCATGGAGGTGTCAGGTATCTTTAGCCACATGAGCTTGTGGCTGTCCTTGTAGTGCTGCTAAATCCCTATTTACCAGGGGTGAAAGCACGGTATAAGCATTTAGTGGCTGCAGGTCACATGATGAGCTCTTCTTCCTCTTGTTTTCCATGCAGTAATTACTCACAACTGTTTCAAGTGTGCAGGCTTAAGAGCAAGTTTATTTGAATTGCTCTTAAGAAATTGCCTGAATCTGGAAAGAAGAAAAATTTCACCTGCCTTAAAACAAACCAGATGCAAACCTGTCATGTTAGTTGGTCTGTTCCAGACTGTTGAATTGTATTTTATTGTTAGATCTTTAAATTTTAAATTCTACTTAATGGAAAAACTGTTTGTCTTTAGAAGGTAAATATTAGACTCGAACAGAACAAATACCTGCAATGTTGACCTAGTGGGTGAAATCCTGTGGTTATTATCTTGGCAGTTGGATCTGTCATGGTTCCAGGGAGCCTTGAGGAGTTGGGCGGCAAGGATGGGTTTGTGCTGCCATCTGGTGATAGCTGGTCGTAGTTCAGAAATTGGAAGGTGCATATCTCTTAGGCCCCTGTAGTGCTGATTCCTGTGTGCTGGAGGAGAGAAATATAATCCTCATCCTCTGCTCTGGAGGGTGGATTTGTCAAGAAGAAGTATCTAGCTGTGCAACAATTAAAAGCACTGCACATAAACTCAGTATTATCATTCTTAATTTGCAATCTTATTGTAGAAAGTGTTAAGAAAAACAAACCTAAAATGTTTGAAGCTATAAATGCATTCATTGTTCTCACAGCTCTGGTTAGAAGCTTGAGCTGGAGATAAATGGCTGATTATTCACTTACACCAACATGTAGTAATTAGCTTAGGTTTTCTTCTGGATACTAAGCTAGTTAGTCTTTGAAAATGCTTTTTAGAAAAAGTATTTTAAGTACAGGGTCTTGATTTCCCTAGGCAGAAGTTTTTAAAATAGTTTGAGTAAACAGAAATAGATCACCTTATGCTTTGTTTGACATCGATGATCAGTATGTTAGATGCAGAAGGTGTCTTGCTGCTGGTGATGCAAATTCAGAGCTGACAGCAGCAGTGAAGTGTTGTGCTTAGTGTGGGGAAACAAAATACATGCTTTGCCCATGAGGTGTGTTTTGGCTGGGCAATAAGGTAATCTGTCCTAATTAATTGCAAACTCTGGAGACGCCTGCACTTCAGAGAGCTCTCTTTTTCCCTGCTCCTCTTTCTGTACCTGCTGATATTGTAATTACTGCTAACCTGTTGCCCCTTGCTCTTTCATTCCAGTCTTCTCTTTGCTTCTCTTCTTGGGACTTCTGGGCATTGTTAAGTGCAGAAAAGAGAACAGGTGTCCTAATGGTTTCACTTGCCATGGTGTGAGCCCTGAGGTACATTTACAAAGCCTTCCAGAAACTGCAGCATCTGTCTCCCT